CTGGTCTTGCCTATATTTCTCTTCTAAAACCTTTTCTGAATTATTTTCTGCATTTCACTACCTTTTTTCTTTTTAGTATTTGTAGAATGTCCTTAGATTTTGTGAACTTGTTGAAATTTCATTTTTGTCACAATATGGCTAGAATAAGTTCTGGAAAATGGAGACAATTCAATTATTAAGCTGAAGTTAGTGCCTCTTGCTTTTTGTATAAGAATTTCTCTTCTACAGTCTGAACCTTAAATTTCCTTTCGGGCAGAAAAGGTATGCTAGAGATTGTCTAGATGTCTAAGACCACTAATTATTTATCCTACTTATGGCTACCATCATTTGGAAGTTTTTCCTACAAAGCTATTGGAAACCTAACATTGTTTAGGCCAAGTTCTTTGAAGGCGTTCACACATAGATTCTTACAGTTATGAAAATTCTACAAGAAATTGAAAAGACGTATTTATAGAATGAAATTTTGGTTTATTAACTTGATGTTTCCCAAACTGTGGTTTGTAGACATATTCTTGTGTGTCCATAATAATCATTAAGAAAAAAGATCTGTGTATCATCAAATTGGGAATATTTATATATGTTACCCCTGCTCCAAAAGGGGGAAACCTTGAGAGGGATCCTCTGTGCATTTCAGCCCTTTTCTTTCTCTCCCTTCTGATATAACTGGAGACAATGAAAGCCAGACCCCCTCTGCCAGAAAAAAATGTGTATCTCAGAGATTCGGGACCCAAAAACTTCAGGTATGGAACCACAGACATCACACTAAAGGACACAGGTTTCCCAATCTAAAACAAAAGACTGAGTATTTCTTCTGGGCCTGTGAGCCAATAATCGTCTTCTCAGCAAGATGAGGTATGTTTGAGATATGTATGCTACCATGAATTTCAGCCTGCTCCCCTCTATGAAAGCATTTCCCCAAGTGTGAGCTGTGGAATTATGGTACAGGAAGATGTTCCATTTGGAAAGTAATATATCATAGTCTATACATTAGATTAAGCCATAAAAAATAGTCCTTAACTCAAAAAAACAATATTCAAAAGCATTAAAGTAATGCCTAAAACTATTTTCTTCTCCCCTTAAATACTTTTCTGCCCATAATCTGATGAACAGATTTGAACTTACATTGTTGCCAACAAATATAGCAGCAATTACAGTCAAAAAACCAAACTGTTGAAGAAAATTAATCGTTTACTTTGAATGAATCAGACACTTCCATAATTGTGTCTGACAGTACCAAATCATGTCTGAGATAAAACACTRCATGACATATAATCAAACAAATAATTTGCAAGAGTTGTGGGAGGGGAGAGAACAAATGCTCCCCAGCACTCTTGTACGTCATGGGAGCACATGACAAAGGGTGTTAAAGAGGTACAATAGGCTACTGGTACTGAGATCATTTTAGACCATCTTATCACTGGAATACTACAGAACACCATCGTCTATTTATCACATAGTAAGAAGGATTCTATGCTGATAGGATTTGTTTGTATTTGTTCTATTTTATTATTATTTGACTAACATCCTCTGTTAGAAACAATATTTAGCCCATCTAGCCTCAATATAGAAAGCTTTTACCACATGAACAAAATCAATTTGTTCTGTTTGAAGGACAGAGTAATTTGATTAACTACAAAGTACTATAATGCAAAGTTTATTCCCATTTCATCAATCTAATATAAGCAGAAATGAAATGTAGTCAACAAGTAAAATATGCACAACAACCAGGCTTTTTTATACTAGCCTTCAAATGTATGTACATACAGATAGCTATCATACATATAATGGTATACATATAATTTTGCAGAATATCCAGAGCATTCAACATTTTTCTTCATTGTCGATTTTTTTTATTAAGTGTTTTACCATTTGATAAACAAATTTATACCTCATTTCCAGGATACTAAGTAATTGTACATGTCTAACCCAGTAATAACAATTTAGGTACCTAGTGCACAAGATCAAAAAGAGGTTGTTGCTGGTAGTAGCTCAAAACAAGTACTTTGGTCCAATAGATAACATTATGAAAATGTTTTCAACTTTAATTTCAACTACAGTACAGAAAATGTTTTGTTTTTTTCTAGAACATAATTCATATAATCCATATCCATAAGATATTTTTGACATTCATGATGTATTTTTCATATCCTAATTTGCATCCATATACATTCCAGATCAGACTAGGTGAAGAGTGAAAACAGACAGTAGAATATTTGCAATTTATCTGAAGAACACAAATGTGTAGGGTTTTTTTTACATTGAATGTATTAAATTATGAATAATGCAGCATTATCTGACAAGAATTCTCATAAATAACTATTTTTAAATTTCCCAGCTTGCATTCTACCAAAATTATTTTTCATATTTAGACCTCACAGCTTATCAACGCTGACAAATATTCAATGTCAAAATAAATCTTTTATAAACACATTGTATGAACACATAAATAATTCTATAAAATATTAATTTATCTTTTTGCCTCTTATTTAAAGACTGTAATACTATACGAACTTACTTTCCCTATACTTATGGAAGCATACGACTACAGATTTTTGAAAAATTCTAAAAACCCTGAGTACATAAGGATAGTGTCCTAAGTAAACAATCTTCTCAAGCCTTCCTTTGGTGCATTAGATTAACAGATTAGGAAAGAGTGAAAAGTAGACATGTTTTTAAAGATTTTTTCTCTTTTGCTCATATTCCCTGACTTGAGGCATCCAGTTGAGAGGGACTGCCATTTCTGTAACAGAAGCCAATAAAGGGAAATTGTGTAAAAGAACTAAAGACATTAAAATTAGTTTGTCTTAAATTTATAAATTGATAAAATCAAATAGAAATTCCAGCCATTATTATTGAAAGGAAATAAATAAAAATGACATTATGTCTGAGATGCTCCCTCAACAGTATCATTGCCATTTTAAGAAACCCTCCTTAAACATGCTAACATTTTTAGTGCCTGAAGATTTTAATATCACCTTTTTATAATTATTACATACCTTAAAGTTCCAGTGAATTGAAACTCAGAATTCTACTCATTTCTTACTCACCAAAATGACATATTAGTTTTTAAAAATATATGTCATCACCAGCTCTAACTAAGCTACATAAAGTAGCACAGGAAGAAGTAGGTGTGTGTGTAGAGGATAAAAATCACAACGTGGATGGGAAAAGTGAAAGAGAATGAGAAAGCGAGCTATACTTCTCATTGCCCCAAACAAGACTTCCATACAGACAACCTGCTGGGGCTTATGATTCACGTCACTCCCATGTCGCTTTAGTATTGATCTTACGGTTATCACTACACAGACACATGGCAATTTGACATAACCATACAAAATATTGCTTTTATAAAATGTACATGTTAGTCCCCTCCAAAGCTTACATTGAAATTGCCATTGTGGGAATGTTAAGAGGTGGGACTTTTAAGAGTTTTTAGCCTAAGAGGGTGTGCTCCACTTTCTGAATAAGATTGATGATGTTATAGATCAACTTGTTTTTGCCACATGCTTATGTAGCAGTTAGCAGTAAGACCCTGGCTAGTTGTGAGCACCTTGATGTTTCCCAGGCTCTGTAAATGTGAGCCAATACACTTCAGCTCATTGTAAATTACCCAGTCTAGGGTATTCGGTTACAGCAGCACAGAATGAAGTAAGATATGTCCTGTGGCTAAGTTCTAAAACTGCCTTACTATTTCTAGTAAGTTACTATGGGCCCATCTTTTCTAGAAAAAGGAAGGGAAGAAACAGTTATTCTTCTTAATACAAAAAAAAAAAAAAAAAAATAGCTCAGGCAGCCATTTTACAGTTGGAGTTTTCGTGCTGCTCTAACAAAATCCAAACTCTGGGTAATTTATAAGCAATAGAAATTCAGTTTTCAGTTCTGGAGGCAGGGAGGCCAACATGAAGATATCAGCCTCTTTGGTGTCTGGTGAGGCCTGCTCTGCTTCCAAGGTGGTGTCTCGTTGCCCCATCCTTGCCAGGGAAGAACATGGGGTCCTCACACAGTGGGAGAAATGGAAGAGCACAAGAGAACTAAGGCAGCCCTCAATCCTCCAGCCTTTTATAAGGCACTAATCCACTAATGAATGAAGCCTTTATGATACAATAGCATCCCCAAAGGTCTCATCTCTTAACACTGCTACGATGGGCATTAAGCTTAAACACATGCATTTTGGGAGGAAAACAATAAAATCATAGTAGTTGGATTCTTCTTTTTAAATTCCAAAGACAAATGTAGTTGACAAAAGAGGACCAAGGATACAAATCCCCCCACCCACTGTGGTTTAACTTTTTTTTTTTTTTTCTACCACAAACCCCAAATAGCCAAATAGAACTCAATGAAGTTCCAGAATGAATGGGCACAAAGTTGAAGAAATTTATTTATCCTAAAATATTTGCAGACTARGAACAAATTCAGGAGATAAAGTATAAGAATGTTATCTTTAACAAACTATTCAGGTATTTCTAGGCACCTCAAAGTTGCAAAAGCCCTGAATCAACTACAGGAAGAGAGGCATATTGGGCCTAAGTGGCAAAAGGTACCAAACTAAATGAAAACATGGGTTAATCTCATTTATTTCTATAACCAGACACATCTACCAACCAGAAAAAGGCAATGTCGTAAATTAAAAAGCAAACTTCTAAAGAGAAGCTACAAAAACATTTTAAGAAGGAAAAATGAGGAAAATACAAATAGGATCAAGTCCAAGTATACCAAGGTGGCACTTCTCAACTTGTGTACTAAAAAATCCTGCAGAGTTCCCTTAGTTCACAGGGAAAGGTGGGATCTCAATGCAAGGTAAGTCCATGGATTTGGGATAAGTGGCTTTCAGATCATGTGCCACACAAATATATACAAATATTTTCTAAGTATGTTAAGGAATGAAAATATTGTGAAGTATCAATTTAATGAAAGTGCTAGCCTGAGGGAAAAAAACTAGGTTCAACTTCTTGCTATCTCAGTAGCTAAATGACCTTAAATTACTGAGCCTTTTGAAACCCTTAGTAAGGCTCATTTATTAAATGAGAAATAGTTTAGACTAATTTAGCTCTAAAATTCCATCATTTCCCATACATATACACTTGATGTAAAGTGACAGCCACACTTATTTAATTAAAAACTCTCAACTCCTTCAGTCATTCAATAAATATTTATCAAGCACCTAATCTGTGCCAGGTATGTGAAAATCTGGGAAAACATGGAAGACATAATTCCTAAATACATCTTAATGTGAAAGTGGTTAAATAGTAATTGCTTCTAAATAGAAATCTGCATATATAATGAAAGCTTACCTATGCATAATTAATAAATATTAAGTTTAGTTATAGTCAGAGCTTTTGCCAGGATGATTTTCCTCCTCTATATACTCAATTGCTTTTAAAAAATTATTTATGTAAACAATTACTGCTAAACTGCATTTAAAATCCAAATCAATTCCAAAAGTATAAGTTTATAAAAATAGTTTATTTTTAAAGACTCTCAATAGGACTTCAACATCTTATTTTCAGATTATACCAAAAAAGGCAATTGAGTGTTCAGTATATTTTAATTCATGATGGAATCTGTTCCATATCRAAGACAATATATATATAGTCTATTAGGTGGGGGAAAGCATGATTCAAAGTTTTAATTAAATATTACATAATTGGATTTCACCCCAAATATTTAAGCTGAAATTTTCAAATGAATACAATTTCACAAGTTACAAATATATATATCAACTTACAACTGAAACATTTAGCATTTTTACAGTGTTTTAAAAAATCTAGTTCCATAATCACTTTCTTTTCCTTAAAAAAAAACCCTCAGCATATGAGAAGTTTACATTTTGCTGGAAATGCATACATGCACCTAATAGTAAGATCCAAAATGAGAAGAATTACTATCTCCAGGAGTGGGTGGGGGAGGTAGTGGTGGAGGAGGGGGAGGCGGGGGCAAGGAGTATGGTAAGTTAAGCATTGGATGAGGAGCCATGTTAGGTGCAGCCCAACCCATGTTTACAGATGGAGGTGGTGGAGGGAGTGGAAAGTTATGCATGTCAAACACAGGCGGAGGAAAGGGGTATTGTGGCATAATAGGATTATCTTGTCTCTGAGGTGGAAATCCCAAAGTCTCTTGAGATACCATATGTTCTGAATTATAAAACTGCTGAGCTGGAGGCCTGCTGTGGCAAGATCGAGGGTATCTACCCCTAGAAAATCCTCGTGTGAATTCCCTGTTGCGATATCCTTTTGAATGTTCTGAAGAAGGGCTATAAGCATTCCAATTCTGATGAACTTCAGCAAAATCTTCACCTTTGAGTGGGGGAAAAAAATATATACATAAAACCAAAATTAAAATAGCAAAAAGCACAGTTTGAAATTTTAATAATGCCTTTTTTAAAATTACCAAAATACGGCAGTTAAAACAATGTTAAATTTGAAGTTGTCAATTTTAAATAAATTGAAAAAGTAAAACTTAAAGCCCAAGGATTGGGAGAAAGCAAGACAGAAAACACTGAAGACAGTGACTCCAGCCAAACACCACAGAAACCACCAYAGCACCATCCCACTTATACTCTCAAAGGTGAGCAGACAGCCCGGACTTCTACCCTTGACCACCTGTAATGAAACACCCAATCATCCTGCCAGGACAGTGTCAGGGTCAGAGTGAGCATGGCCCTAGTAACAAAACCTCCTCAGAGTGATGGTGGAGAGCACACAGAGCCAAAACTTCCACCTCCACCAGCAGCAGCACTGTGTTCTTCCCTTTGTGCACTGAGGTGGTGTAGGAAAAGACTCAGCAGAGTCAGGACTTTCCCTCAGCCCAGTGGGAAAAGGTTATCCTTTACTGGTGTCAGTGACAACATAACTCCCTACTCCTACCAGGCACTGGAGATGATCTAGTGGGGTGTCAGAACTTCACCCCTGTCTTACAGTAATGAGGCACCCCTTTCTACTTGAGTGTCAACAAAGGCTAAGAGGAAAACCTAGGCTCTGCTCTACTTCCTTTCCCTACTAGAACAGTATCTGAAAAACAGACAAATGTGAGCTAAACATATGATTTACATAAGATCCAAGTCTCATAAATACCCAATATACCCAAGCTTTAATAAAACATTAACTCACCATAAAAAAAAGGAAAATTTCAAACTCAAGAAAAAAGGAAAAACTAGCCAGAGCAATACAAAGATATTAGAATTAAGAAAGATAATGCCTTCACAGAAATGCTTCAGCAAGAAATGTTATGCACACCTTTAAAAAATGAAAGTAAGAAAATCTCAGATAAAAAATAGAATAGAAATTTTAGATATGAACATTATAATAATCAAAATAGATAAAAGTAACAATATTGAAGGAGAAGAACAATACTAGAGGATTAACACTACCCAACTTCAAGAGTTACTATGAACCTACAGTAGACACAACAATGTGCTATGGAGAAAGAACAAACAGATCAACAAGACAAAAGAGAGAGCCCAGAAATAGACCTATACAAATATTTATAGTATATGAATTTATATACTCAGCTAATATTTGACAAAAGGTACTTTAATGGCCCAAAGGCGATTTTCAACAAATGGTGTTGAAACAACTAGACATCTGTGAATGAAATAGAATCTGTGAAAGAAAGAAAAGACAGAAACCTTAACCCTTCATAAGATTTAATTCAACATGTACCACAGACCTAAATGTAAAAAAAAAAAAAAAAAATCAAGGATAAACTGAATTTCATTACAATTAAATTTTTCTGCTCTCTGAAAGACAATGTCAAGAAAATGATGTTAAAAAAAACTATTATTAAAAATAGACAAAGAAAAATAGACAAAGAACTCAACAATAAGAATCTGATTAAAAAATAGGCCAAAGACCTTAACAGACACCAGACACCTAACCAAAGAAGATATATAGTTGGCAAATAAGCATATGAAAAGACGCTGTTACACATCAACAGAAGTGCAAATTAAAACAATGAGATACCACTACACACTTATTAGAATTGTCAAAATCCAGAGCACTGAGAACATCAAATGTTGGCAAGGTTATGGAGTAACAGGAACTCCTATCCATTGCTGTCAGGAAAGCAAAATGGTACAGTCACTATGGAAGACAATTTGTAAGTTTTTCTCATAACTAAGCTTACTTTTAACATATGGTACAGCAATCTTGCCTCTTGGTACAGCAATCTTGTTTCTTGGTATTTATTCAAATTAGTTGAAAACATCCATCCACGCACAAACAACAACAAAAAAAACCTTGCACATGAATGTGTCTTTAGTCTTATTCACAAATCAATTTTATAATGAACCTAATACTGATATGTAAAAAAAAAAAGAAAGTCTTAAAAAATTGATGGATGAGTTCAAAAACAGAATACAGGGAACAAGGAAATATCAGAGAACTTGACGATAGAAAAGTGGAAAATACTCAAGAAAATCAACTGGAAAAATGTATTAGGGTTGTGTTCTGAAAACTACAAAATGCTAATGAAAAGAAATCAAACACCGTCTAAATAAACAAAACTGTGTACCATGTTCATGGAATGTCAGTGGAGCATGGATGACAATTCTTTCAAAATTAATCAATACGTTTACTGCAATTGCTATTACAATTCCAGCAAGATTTTTTGTCAATACAGAGAAGATTATTTTAAAATTTGTAAGGATAGGCAAATGACCTAGAATAGCTAAAAATCATTCTAAAAAAGAGAAAGTAGGAGGTGTCACTCTAGCCAATTTCAAGACTTAGTATTAAGTACAATAATAAAGACTGTGGTATAGATACATAACAATGGAATAGAACAGAGAAGCTAGAAACAGATCAACACAATATAGCCAAATAATTTCTGATGAACCTCAAAAGGAATTCACTGGAGTAATCATAGCTTTTCAACAAATAGTAAAGAAACAATTTGATATCTATAAGCAAAAGAACCAACATCAATCAAATCACTTATCCTATTCAAAATTTAACTCAAAATGGATCATGAATATAAAATGTGAAGCAGGTGACTACAAAACTTTAGAGAAAAAAAGAAAAAATCTTTACTATGATTAGGCAAGAAGTTATTAGACTTTATAAAATGAAATCTGATATATTTGGCTTTCATAAAACTAAAAACTTTTGTTCTGTAAAAGACCCTTTTAAGAGGATGAAATGACAAGCTACATACTGAAGAAATTATATATAAAGTACATATTTGCCAAAGGACTCAAATACAAAAATTTATTTTTAAAAACTTCAAATAATTCAAAAGGAAAATAACAGAAATACAATTAGAAAATAGAGAAAAACATGAATAAACATTACCACCTAAATAGTTAAAAATGACCACATGAAAAGACGGTCAATGTTACTAGCCATTAGGAAAGTGCAAATTGAAACCACAATTAAAGATCACTTACACCTAAAATTAAAAATGACAACACTAAATGTTGGTGAGAATGCAGAGAAGCTGAGTCACCAGTGTTACTACTGATGACAATATAAAATAGTACCACCAAACCAAAAAAAAAAAAAAAAAAAAAAGGCATGACAGTTTAAGAAACTAAGCATGTAATGCAACTGTCATATAACTTAGCAATTACATTTTTGTGTATATGTCCCAGAAGAATGGAAATTTGTTTTCACACAAAAATCTATATACAAATATTTATAGCAGCTTTGCCCAAATGAACAAAAAATGCAAACAACTCAGATATCCTCTAATAGATGAATGTTTAAACAACCTGTGGTATAGTCCCAACATGGAATAGTACTATTCAATGAAAAGGAAAAATCTATTAAGTGTATCTATAATAATAAATATAACAACCTGGATGGATGCCAAGAAAATTACAGTCACTGGCAAAATCAAATCCCTAATTTTAACATGCTATATAGCTCCATTTACATAACATTCTTCACATGACACTGTATTTTAGAGAAATGAATAACAGGTAAGTGGTATGAGCTGAGGAAGCAAGATAGCAGGAAATGGATATGACTATAAAAAGGAAACCTAGGGAGCTTGCTGGTAATGGAAATGTTATATATGTTGACTGCATGAATGTCAAAAATCCTGGCTGTGATATTGTACTACCAAATTTTATAAGATGTCACAACTGGAGGAAACTGGGTAAAAGGTATGCAGCATGTCTCCTATTATTTCTTGTATCACAAAAAGTTTAATTTTAAAAAGCTATCACTAACTATTCCCTTGTGACTCTCACCCACCCATATCCCATGTTGCACAATTTCTCCAATAGTTCCTGGATGCCAGAAAGTAACACAGAACATAGAAATGTCTTTCAGCTTTATTACAGATAAACCTATATAGATCTAAATGAACGTAAATAAAGACTAYATATTATATTCACTCACCTGGCTCATTAAATTCAGATTTGAGTTTTTTCCGGCCTTGAATCTGAGATTTTTTTCTCTGTTTGGCTTCTTTTTCTTTTTCATCATCACTGAAGTCTAAGGCCTTGCAGATGAAAGTAGATTTAAATCACATAGATTTGTCAATTCATACTTAGAGACTTAGAACAAACCTGTAAGACCTATTATTTAGCAACTGACCTTGACAAGTTTCTCCTTTCAGTACTTAATATTTTCCAGTAATATCTCAACTAATTAGAAATCTTAAAAAGTCAAGTTTCTTTGTTTCTGACAATTGCCTAAAGACTTCATTAATACAGGCCATTAATAAAGCTGTTTAATCGTTAATCAAGCTGTAAAACCATCAATCAAGGTTTATTAATTCCTAGAAAGTTTTGGGTAGGTAACTTTACATCATCAGGTGTGGGCACTGCCTGGCCAGAAGTGTGACCTCCAACTTACACTTAAGATTGATCATAATGCCAGTTGCCAAAGGATGCCAAAATATTGATTGATAATAGTTAAGATTAAGCAAATTTCACACACCATCAGATCCAATATAAAAATAAAACATTGCTTTGTGACTCATTTATTTAAAAACATTAATATAACCATTATATGCCAGTCTCATTCTACACTCTTAACAGGTTACAGTAAAAGCAATAAATATAAAATAAGACAAAGTAAGGGCATAAAAAATCACAGGGATGTTATGTAGATCCACTCCCACCAGATGAAGCACTGTGTTCTTTCCCTTCCCTGGCTTTCAAAACCAGACACAGAACTATATGATCTAAATTCTAAGAGGAAATTATTTCAAATTACTAGTGTAAAATTCACATTTTATGCGGAATTGGAATTCACCATTCTACACCTGTCAGAAAATCAAGATTTATGTCATGATATCTTTAGTTCAGGTATACTGTTTTTCTACTACCACTAGAAAACATATTACCTTTCACATGTAGGCGTATGTGCACACTTAAAAGGAAGAAACATAATAGATGTAAATGTCTCTGTATGGCATTTTCAGTATGCTCTTGCTGAAATAATATAATATTTTCCAGATAAAATCCTCCATGAACCACTAAGACCATATACCTACCATTATCATTTTCAAACACATCAACTAAATTTTAGTACCTTTAAATATAAGATACATTTTTTTTATTACTGATCTTAATGTATTAAGATTTTTAAACTCAGGTTGAATCTGGCATCCACCAGACACCAGAAAGTACTAAGATCAGATGGAAGACGTTTATTTCTTTGAAACTATTTAGTCAAATGAGAAAACAAATAAACCAGCAATACAATAAGTAAGTATTATGGGGTTGGATTAAGAGGAAAAAGAGGAAGAAAGCCTTCTTGGTAAAAATAACCCAAGATAAACATCTCATGAGTTAGCTGGGAAAATAAGGGAAAGGAAATCTTCAGGAAGTGGGAATGATATGTGCAGAGGCACTGAAGTATATGGTGTGTAAAAAAAGTCAAAAGGATTCTGTAAGGCAAAGTGAAAGCTCCTTATACAGCAAAATCAAAGAGACAAGGTTGGAGAAGTTAATAAGAACATTATTGTGCCATTTTAAATACCCATGCATCATCTCAAAGCAAGAGGGAAGAAATAAAGAATTTTAATTTGGAATAGTTTATTTTAGAGCGATTACGTTGGTAAAATTTTACTAAGATTTACTTTTCCTTGTTTTCAAATTTGCATTCATTAAACATTTATTCAGTTATAAATTTCATATGTTTATGTTAGAAATGGATATAAAATAAGATGTATTCCTGAGTGATTTTTAGGACCTTAATGCATCTCCAACATTTTCATAGTACATTATCTCTCAAATTTTCTTTTATATGTTAAAGCTTCCTATTTTCAGGGCACATAATTTATTTTAGGCCTCACAAATTCTAATCAACCATCAATATCAGGCAATAATTCGGAACTACAAAATGTCATCAACAAATATTACAAAATCCAATCCCAACACAGTTCATGATCCAGTCTGCCACCTGGAAAAAATAAACATCATGAAGCACGTGGGATTTCATTTTGTCATTAATCTTTTATGAAACCAATTTCATAAACATTTTACATTATCACAATTAGTAACTTCCATGTTTAGTCTGGAAATAATAGGCATGTATTAGAATATCTGAATTTCACAAGAGATATATTTCAAGATCTGATTCAATCTCCAAAACACTTTTGAAACAGAATTTGAGAAACAAAATGCTCTAAACCTACCAGAGAATGTTAAGTGAGTGTACAGAGCATTACATGTGTACATGTTAACTAGAAAACATAATCCCATTTCAATGTGGATAATAAGCTAAGATCCCTCCCTGGTCAAGTGACTCATACCTGTATAAAATTCTCTATGTGGGTATAAAACTACCTCAACAAAATTAGAAGTTAATACACACCATGAGCTTGGCATTGCTTGAGAATATCTAAAATGATTATCTGAATCTGAAAATACCAAAAATCAATAATACTGAAAAACATTTTACAGAACTGAGTACAAGAAAATCTGCTTTAACATCTCCATGGAGAGTTAAACCAAATAATTCTACCAAATAATTAATTCATTTACATATTACCCCCAAATTAATTTCACATCTCTAAACAGACTAGATTATCAACCCATCGTTCCATGCCTTGCTGGAATAGATATAAAAATATAAATCAAGGAGATCTTGTTTCAAAAAGGTAATTATGCTATAAAAAATGGGGAGGTAGGTAAGTCTCTAATGATTTTATATGAAGGGTGCATATTATCAAAAGCTTCACAATAATGTTTTCATGTCCCATTTGAAGAATTTACTAAAACAATTAAAAACTTACTAAAAATAAAAAGACTTAAGTCATGCCTACTTTATAAAACATTCAGTAAGAAGCTTAATACTTACATCTGGTGGTGGTTCCTGATCATTCTTCCATGATGCATCTGATCCCCTATCCCTGAAAAAAGAATTTTAATAAACAAATTTAAAAAGTACTTATCAAAAATATGCTGTTAACAGTGCTTATAAAACATTAATAGTATGGAAAATAAAGAAGATGAGCGCAACTGGCAATTTTGCAATACATGAAAATAGCAAAAAACAAAAGACCATTTATGTGTCCTTTACCTTATTTCAGATAATATGAGAATCTCATAAGAAAACCACAAAATTTGGACCCATTTAAGTATTAGAATTAGGGAATTAAGAAGAGAAACCAAGATTGTGGTGTGCAGATAAACATGGTTTTACTTTTGTGATACCTGAAGTTTGCATAAACTCTGTTCAGGAAATGTTTGTTCAACATCAATTACAAATCAGAAGTCACTCAAGCAGCTACAGATGCAAAGATATGAAGTGTTCCCTTTTCCGGGATTTTACAGATCTGATGCTAGAGCTATTGATTTAAATCCTTCTCTCCTCATTCTGACTGACTGTAAGTAGCCCAGATTTATTTCAACAATTATTAAGTGGCCCAGACTTATTTCAACAGGGATTCTCAAAGCACGGAAAGTGAAAGAAAGACTAATTTGAGGATGATGAGAAGAAACACTGAAAATTCAGAAGGACAGAATAATCAGAGGTGTATGTGGAAGGAGTAAACGGAGCTGAAACTTAATTACTCCTGGTGGAAAAGTTTCACATTCTATAAAACCAAGAAAAGTACATATAATGAATATGATTATAATTTCTTAAACCTCACTTTTAAATCTTACCTTTTTAATCTTATTAATTCCATGACTTCAGGCAATATAGTTATTCAAATGCACTAAAATATTATAAAGTACTGTGACTGGATGCTCATTGCTTTAAACTAGACAATGAGTGAGGGTCTCAGGAATTAATGCCACTAAAATCAATGCACAGATGTCAGTATGGTGGCACAAAATGAACATCAAGTTTGCTTTAAATATTTGACTTGAATCTTTGACATTATATATGATGTATTTTTTATCAGTTAAATAAGGTACTTATTTATTCAATTGTCATTTTACAATCTGTACATTTAACACAGCTCTAATATTCCTTTTGGAATATATGACATCTCATGACCTGAAATGGCTTAGCCTGGAGTTCAAATATGTAATTGGGAAAAATTCCCCAACTAGTACATCTACCACAGGAAATCAAAAAGCCACTAAAGGAAAAATCAGACAACATTTCTGAAAGCACTTTTTACAGACAGTATATGGAAAGCTAAAATTAAATTAGCCTTGTTAGGCTGGTAAGTTAAGTAGTGCACAGAGTTCCCATGAGAGACACCAAAGTGCACCATCAATGGGGTTTATGCAGGACAATCTAATTCCCAATTCTATAGTTTATTCCTATTTAATAAACATTTTCAGAAAACATTCCAACTACCTGTGTTAAGCTAAAATATTTATTGTACAGCATATTACATATTAAAATATTTATTGTAACAGCAGCATCTTGTTATCCGTAGCAGATAGAAATGTTAATTATTTAAAGCATTATTTTAAAACATATTAAAATCTTTATGACTTAATGTCTATTTAATTCATCTTTCCTGCTAGCAGTTATTTAGGGAAATTAACCTTACACAATCTGAAGAGATTGAACAAAATTATCTTTCAGATAATTATGATCTTCTTAAACATGAGTTTAATCAATTAAAGACTACAAATTTTACCTCTGAAATAACTAAAGAAATTCAGTGACTTAATTTAACTTGGAAGTGGAATAGAGACCTTAAGCTTTGCAGCATGGACTAATACTTTGGAGGAAGACCCAAGGTTACCCACTGACTAAATTTCCTTGAAAAACTACATCTAAAAGTACATAGCCTGTATTTCAGATTTCCTATAACAGGAGAGCTAAAACTTAAACAAATCTGTGTCAAAGTGTAAAGTCTTTTTGGATTTAAAACCCCCTCTGCCTCCCTCTTCTGTGGTCTTCTTCCATTCCTAATTTGACTATATTTTTGTAGTTAATTACAGCTTTCTCAAAGCACTCAACTTATTTTTATAGAAAAACCTATCCTACTTGAACTCATATACCATGTTTAGATAAAAAATTAAATTATGGGCTGGGCTTGCTGGCACATGCTGTAATCATAGACATGTAGGAAGCTGAGGCAGGAGGATTTCAATTTGACATGGGCCTGGGCAACTTAGTGAGATCTTTTCTCAAAATAAAAATTAAAATAGGCTGGGCACAGTGGGAACCCCCTGAAGTTCAATCCTTAGTACCACCACCCTTCCAAAAAAAAGAGAAAGTAAAAGAAGAGATTAAATTATATAATTATCACAGTAAGTTCTACTGATATAAATCAGCTGTACAGCTAACACTTGCCAACACAATACTTGCAAAATAGACAATAAACCAGAAAGAGTACAATTAGGCAAAAATTTTGTGACTCACATACTACAGGGATCATTCTGCAWATATATAGACAAAATGGAGGCCACTAATTTGTTGGAGAGGTCAACCTTTTTACCACAGTTTTACATTCAACTTTGCAGTGACATATTTTAATTGTCTCTCTCCATAAATTTACAAATTATAAGCAATCTAAAATTTAGTCACTTTTTTTCTTGGTGAATATTTTAGTTTTATTAAATAGTTAACCCTATGAATGTAAACCAAACAGAATTTTATTTAAAATCTAAAGAAACATTTTAAAATCAAAATACCAATGTTGAAGTAGTTACATACAGAACATAATGAAAAAAACAATGAACTAGAATTCATAAAATTTACATGATACAAATGTTCTCCCAGTGGGCTATCATTACATCTGGAACAAAAGATACAAATGATTTCTACCTATAAAATGTGATAACAAATCGTAGAATTATTCTTAAATGTTAGATAAATAAAGAACTAATATGTCAATAAAGTACTTACTGTTTTAGTTTTTCTGTGAATATATATTGGGTGAAGTCTTTCATTGATGGAGCAAAATACATAGTCTCCCTGATTTTAATACCTTTACTTTCAATGTGATCTGAAGAATTAAACCGTAACACATAAAACGGATGTGCAACAGGTCCAAATATTTCAAATATCTACAAAATAGAAGAAGCATAAAGGTCCGTTTTAACATGGAAAATGATTTGAAATGTTAGCAATATTTCTTTTGAAAAATGCCACTTGTAGCTGCTAAAATAAGATAATTTTGTCAATCTTAGGGCAATGAACTTATCCTTGTCCTGTTTATATACTCAGTCTTCATATTTTGATTATAAATGCAGCTTATCCCAAATTTCCTTATAAAAATTTTTTCTAAGCTTGTTTCTTAACAAATTAAAATCATTATAGTGGTTACCTTATAGATGCAAATAATGAAATTTAAAAAGTATTGTCCATTTAAGTTGTAAGGTACAAATATTATAACTGGTACCTTTTGAATTTAAGATGCTATCTGCATTTGTACTTTTATAATTGGGAAACTAAAGTAAGCTTCTGCAGATCAACTCCTCTGTTTCCATAGAGTGTTAGACATTTTAAAAAATTAAACCATGACTTTTTAAAAAGCAGTTAATTATATAATTTTAATGGCTATATAGCACAATTTATTAATTTGTCTCGTTACTGTATATTCAGGCAGCTTCCAAGTTGTCCAATAGAAGACATGATGCCATGATGGACGTCTTCAATATGTACATCTCTCTCTAATTTTGAAAACTTCTAAAAACTGATTTGGAAGAAGCTGAATTATCAGAACCAAATATGATAATTATTAAAGCTATTGATGTAAATTACTAAATCCTTGAACCAAATATGATAATTATTAAAACTACTGATGTGAATTACTAAATCCTTGGACAATTTACACCAACTGGAAAGTGTCTATTTTATCAAATCTTTGATTCTGATATTAAGTCTTCTCATTTTGTAATACACAGTATAGTATTCCAGCTTTTGTTCATTTTCACTAAGGCATAAAACATCTAACACAGCAAGGTACACCATTCTGAAGGTTATTATACCCTAAGAAAAAGTAGTAGCATTAAAAGCAATTAAAATGCCAATGTGTTCTGAATTAACATCAATAATTTAGAACTGATAAAAAATTTTAAAAGTAAAACAAATGATGTAATAAAACAACAAAAAATCATCTTTGAGAGGTTTATATAAACACAACAGACCTCTAGCTGACACAGTGACACATGCCTATCTATAAAAAAAATTATGTCAACAGGGTTATAAAGAGTCTGGTTTGAACTAAAATGTAAATGGCATTCAAATTCTTAGACAATGAAGTGCTTATGAGCCACAACTATAGTGGAATCATCACAAAGTTTTTAAGTGAAATAATACCACATTCAAGAGGAAACAGAAAGTTGAACTGTGAAATTGATATGTGGCATGCACCAATATTGACCTGTACCCCTACCTCAATCAGTCACAGGAAATTTGGCCAAGTCTACTTAAGCAATTTAGCAAACAGTTATTAAAAAAAAAAAAAGAATTTGATAATATTTTAAGTAACTGTCAACTGCAAAATATAGATATATCTGATTGCTAAACTATGAGGAGAAACTTTAAACACAGCAGAGCTCAGGCCAGCCCATGTCTTCTCATACAGTTCTACAATGAGTAATTTGTATCCCTCCTTAGTAATTCCACTCAACTTTGGGAACTTTGTAATTTCCAAAAAACTTAACTTGAAATAAAAGCAAAACAAGTAACAGACTGCAAGGAGAGTGTAAAAAGAAAAATTTAGGATAGTAACAATGGAGACATTTACTTTTATACCTTAATCAATAGTACGTATTCTGTAGTAGAAGTGCTCATACAAAGGATTTCTGTCACACAGAGGTTAACATATACCACTACCACAACATGGTACAGATATAACATGGAATCTGTTGGGAAAAAACTGAGGAACACAGTATTAATGAAGAGTATGCAGTCCCTCAAATTCTCATTCCACAGGATAGACTGGGCTTAGACATTTTGTATACAGCATGGCCAAAGTCCCAGCAAGTGTATGTGCTGGGCCTGCCTGAGCCAGCAGACTGACAGGCACAGAAAACACTCTAGTAGGGAGAATGAGCACCACCCTATTCTCCCTCTCTACAAACACACCATGTCACACACATAAAAGTCAGTCTAAGAGGGACTAGTAAGTCACAGATTCTCTAAGTAACAAGAAATACATCCAGGAATCTCCAGGACCAGGAATAGCACTGGAAGACTGTGCATGTAGAAGGCCAAGCCTTCTAATATGCTGCTGGCCTGTTCTACTGAGCCAATTTATTACTACACTACGAGAAGGTGAATGAAAGTGAGGAAAATTAATCTCCACACCCTTTCAGGATTGTCTTATATCAATCATTTTGTGATTTTTTTAAACATTAACAAAAATGAAAGAATATAGACAGGCAGGGTATCCCAAGTCACTGGTCAAATCAAGTGATTACTTCAATCACTGTGTGTATCATATCACAAGTTAACATGAAGTATCCATGAGAACTGAGAGAGGCAAAAAAAAACAACACTGCATCCATATAACATGGAGACCTTCAGGAACCCATCATATCCTACCTACAAAGACTGTCAATATAAACTGATCTTTAAAAAAAAAATCAGTAAAAGTTCCTTAGCCAATGGTATTTGAGAGGGAAATAGATCCCAATACTTACCAAAGAGAATCAATCGTTATGGGAATCAAAGGGCAAATCTAGAAATAGTAATCTGAGATTGTCCTCCTGACATTAGTGGGGAAGAAAGTGGGAGGTAGGAAGGAAATGAAATTGAGTTCTCAGTCAATTTTGCTCAATTTTATCAAGTTTTCTCTCAGTTTTAAAATGTACTGAAGGAAAAAATATCCTTGCTTCTGAACTGCAGTGCAATGGATGGATTAATTCTGATAATTCCTTGTGACTTTTTTGGTAAATACCCAAAAGGTCTGGTTAAGAAATATTTCAATGATCAGGGAACTTGATAATTATCAAAATACAAAATTCTTTCTGGGAACAAAAAAGATCCCAGACAAGCTAAATGCAAAAAATAAATATTTATGATGTGGGTGTCAGTGAATTTTAAAAAGATAAAGAAGCTGGGTATAGTGGCACATGCCTGTAATCCTAGGGACGTGGGAGGATGAGTCAGGAGAATCTCAAATTTAAGGCCAGTCTGGGCAAGTTAGTGAGACCCTGTCTCAAAATAAAAAAAAATAAGGAGGGCTGGGGATGTGTTYAGTGATAGAGCACTTGCCTAGTATGCACAAAGTTATGGGTTCAATCTCCAATACAGGGTGGGGATGGGCTACAAAGAACATAAAATATCACTGTGGCTGATTAATTTTGTTGTTATTGAAGAGCAGAGGACAAAGAAAGCATGAGCAATGGCTCATGTTATGTATCTAGATAAGATAGCTAACAAGATTAAAGCACATCCATTTCATATCTTGGTCACTGGTTTGTTTTATATTCTAACCCTTCCTATCACCACCACTACTTTGGGGAATCATTTCAAGGTGCTCAGATTTATAATTGAATATTTTTTAATGATTTGTCATTTCTCAAATTTACAAAGCTTCCTGGGTATATTTAAAGATTGAATTTTTGCTTGAAGCCTTATGCCAGCTAACTGAAGTTAGTGACCTAACTATTATATTTTTATACTGCTCCTTTCAAAGACAAATGACACAAGCTGATTATTATTAATCACACTTAAAGGTCTGAAAATTCAAATATATCGGGGATATAAAATGTCAGTTTAGAGGGTTTAATTAGCAAAGTGTTTGGGTATTTTGAAATTAAAATTAGCTAGTAAGAGAGAAAGGCAACCATCATTAATATCATAATAAAAGAAATTAAGAAGTGCTCAGCTTCAATAATGTCCTATTCAGAAAATTAAGAAATATGTTTCCCTTGCCTCTTCTCCCCTCTTTTTACGGCTCTTCTTTTCCCTTTTCCTCCTCTCTAGAGCAGAAAGAAAACTTTGATTTTTGCCAGGGAAGAAAATAGGTTTCTCCTACAAAAGGGGACCAATGGGCATGGATAGCCTTTCCCATCATGATCATCTGTCAGGGGCTACAAGGAAAGATTAGCCTGACAGCCCCCTGGGAGACATTCTGCCCTGAAGGCATCCTGCAGCTACCTATCTCCCTGGAACATCCTGCGGTTATCAGGATCATCAGACATCATGCAGCTGGCAGTTTTACCACCCACATCCAGCAATTGCTGATTAGAGAGCTTCCCCATCCCCAGCATATAAATACCCCTGTGTGAACAATAAAAGTTTGCAGCTTGATCAGAATTCCTGTCTTGCTGTCATCCTTCCGTGTCTCTTGTCCCTTCATTCCTCCCCATCTAGGTTCCTTGCCCACATTGATGTGTCCTGCCGGTGGGGACAATCATCTGCTCATTTCCCATTCCTTTTCTCTCTCAATCTACCCAGAGGTCAGTCTATCTCCAATCTTTTACAAAGGCATTGGCAGTAAGCAGAGTTTGTACTATATACTTCAGTACTTCTTTCTAAATTTAAAAATTCTGAGACCCACTTTCAAAAATAAAAAGCCACACCACCATCCTTTAGACACTAACAAGTCCTCTTTCCCCTCACAAACTTTCTCAAAAAATGCCAAAAATATTAGTTCCTCACTCCAATTAATTCTTCTACCAACTGCTTTGCAATTGAGTGACTCACTGCTTTGGTTAACTGGCCAGTCAATCTAAAAAACACATTTAGGTGGTGAAAGGCAGCAGGACACTGATAAAAACCTGACCACTTTCCAAGTTGTGTTAGAATGGACAACAGAAAAAGTTACTGAAAACAAAAAGGCTGTGTAAGGTAAAAGCTTAAAATATTTGGATTTTCTTGATTTAAAGTAAATTAAGTATAACTCCTGGAACAGAAAAAAAAAAAAAAGAAGAAGCCGCCAATTATTGCGCATTTGGGAAACCCCAATAAGTTATTTCACCAGAAAACAGTTGGTTACTTATCCCCCTCCCTCCCAAGTCAATACACATTTACTTATTAGCACATACACTTAGAAAGAACTATTATATTCATTGAAATATTGAGGTGAATAAAAAACTCGGTCCCTATTGTCACATAAAAAATGAACACTTGGTTAGTACTTACATTTTTCTTCCCGGTGCTGGGAACTGATCTCAGGGGTACATTCCCAGCCATTCTATAATTTTGAAACAGGATTTCAGTAAGTTAGTGAGGCTAGCAATGAACTTTGGATGCTCCTGCCTCAGCTTTCTGGACCACTGGGATTATAAGCATGTGCCACTATGCCTGATAGTACTTATATGCTTGATGTCAAAACTGCCTATATGCTTAGTGAAGTATGTGGTTTTTCACATTAAGGATGAACATGCAGGTTGTTCCACTACTTAGATGTTAAAAGGCCTGGGCGTGATGGCACATGCCTGTAATCCTAGTGACTAGGAGGYCGAGATGGGAAGATCCCAAGTCAAGACCAGCCTCAGCAACTTAGAAAGGCCCTAAGCAACTTAGTTGGAACCTGTCTCAAAATAAAAAATAAAAAGAGCTGGGAACATACCTCATTGGTAAAATGCCCTGGGTTACATACTCAGTTCAAAAAAAGAAAAATGTTAAAAGGGACCGAACCTTATGGTGGCATTGAAAATACACATATTCATAGTTCCCTAGAGGGTACTTACAGTGACACTTCACTGCTGTCTCTGAAATCTTTTCCACTGGAAACAGACCCTGCTCTTGGCTTCTACCTGAGAAGGCCAAAATCTAAAAACTTTAAAAGAGTCACAAACTCACTGGGAATCACAAACCAAAATTGATTGAGAACTAATACCCTAAGGAAAGTCTTCCTCACACAGCTCTGCAAACTAGGAGGGCAGGGAACTGTGTCTTTATTCAGTATGTATACCTATAGCCTAGCAAAGTACCTGGTAAGAATGCTATGTGTGTGTATTCTGTGACTCATGGAGCAAAATAGCAGTATGAAACCAATTTACAGATTTATAAAGGACTGAAGGAAATCAAGAATATATTAAACATGAGAGCTCTAGATTGCTCATCTACTAAAATTAATAAACTCTTCTTAGCACCAATAGGGGAAGAAAATAAAAAAAAAAAAAGACACACAATAATTTGTAGGAACTGAATTTTACAAACCTTTCCTGCTGCTTGTCGATCACTTTTAAAAATTACAGTTTCCTCATTAACTGGAGGTAGGTTATTCATAGACTCAATTATTACTGAAAAACATAAAAAAAAATTATTTCAAGATTTAATCCAAAGATAATGTAGAATTTTGGTGAGAATTTATGCTTTAATTACAACATAATTTAAAATAAAACTTAAGGTGGGGTAACATACACCTTAGCAACTATTTCTCTTCAGTAAACAAAATATAATCACAAAACACAGGCAGCTAACCTGTGATATTTAACACAAAAACTTATAATTCCAAAAAGAAAAATATAAAATATAATGGAAAATTCGAATAACTCATTAAGAAGTCAAAAAATCCAAGAGTAAATTTTGTCAATTTTTGCCAAAAATAGTAAAATCACATGTAGTAACAGAAGAAATCAGTCAGGTTTCTCACTCTGGAATTATTTCCTACAAAGCATTGATTATTTACTGATAAGTAAAAATAAAAATGCTAAATTAAGTGCTTAACAAAACATTTTCCCTTGAACAGATGAAAAAAGGGCAAAAGAGTTCACAGTAATTTTTATCATTACATTTAAGTTCCCTTATCAAAAAAAAAAAAAAAAAAAAAGCATTATCCCATTGGCCTATTCTTACTTGTTGCTCTAATCTTAAAGATTTGTCTCGTGTTTATTTTTCTTTTTGTGGTTGTATGTCAGTTATTTAACATTTTTGACAGTGATATTTCTCTGCTTCTATCTAGATGGATAATATCTAATTAGTCCCTATTTTTAAAATTCAAACAGAAAAACCCAGCATGGCTTTTAGAACTACACCGTACAATGTCAAATCCTTTCTTTTCATCTAAGGTCTTACTTGAATTCATAGATTAATTTGACTAATGTATTAATAGTTTTCCTTTTTTAAATTTGGTCAAAATTATGTTAGATATTTTAGGCTTTCAAAACAGGTTGGTATACAATAATAGCATGTGTTGATTTTGATTTCTTCACTCTTTATTACCCAGTAAAGTTGAAAATTTTATTAGTATATTTCATTGTGTTGGTCATAATACATTAACAAAGCATTATTCCATGCACATCATACAGTTGACTTTTCCTTGAGGATCAACGCTATGACCTATAATTTGTCTGCAAACATTAAAACTAATAAATGCTCGGCTGATACTATAAGAAATTAATTATCTATTTGATTTATCTATATATATAATTAAGAACCACAAGGTAAACTTAAAAACTAGTACATGTGATGGCGTGGGAACAATGAATAGTTTTAGTAACCCAAATTTTAATTAATAAATTGAAAACTATAAAATTAATTTTTAAAAACACTGACTGATACAGACACTGTAAGAAAGGTCAAAAGATGGAGTCCTATTTCAACCAATGACTTAAGACAACTGATCTTAAGAGAAAGTGACTTGAATATATCTGTGTTCCTTAGATTCTCTAAACTAAGAGGGCTCTTGGGCAATTTACTACCTTCTCACAATTCAAAAATTCTATGATTTCATTAGTGCTACATTCTACTCTCAGGTGTGTCTCATCATGAGAATTAATGGTACCCACATGAACCTCAAGACTCTTACACGCCTTCCTCACATCTTTGAGCCAAACATATCTAAACTATCCCATTCTTTTCATATTTCATGTCATAAATACCCATTTTTTTAAGAGAGAGAGTGAGAGAGAGAGAGAGAGAGAGAGAATTTTTTATATTTATTTTTTAGTTTTCGGCGGACATAACATCTTTTTTTGTATGTGGTGCTGAGGATCGAACCCGGGACGCATGCATGCCAGGCGAGCGCACTACCGCTTGAGCCACATCCCCAGCCCCATAAATATCCATTTTAAATCATAGAATTTCAAATTTACATGTTTGTGAGATAAAAATTTTGAGATACTAGAAAGAATGGCTCCCCAAAAGATATCCCCATGTTCCAATTTCTGAACTTAGAAATATGCTCCTTAAATTTAAAACAGAGACTTTGCAGATGTCATTAAATTTAAGGACCTTGTGATGGGGGTAGAATGCCATGGATTACAAAGGTAGGCCCAATCCAAGGAGTCCTTAAAAGAAGATAACCTTCCTGGAGTGTGGTCAGAAAGAGAGGTAATGATGGAAGAAGGGTCAAAAAAGGATGCTACATTAATTACTTTAAGCATGATGGAAGATAGCCCATGGGCTAAGAAATGTGGCCTGCACTAGTCCAAAAGAAACAAAGAAATGGATTCTCCCCAAGAGCCTACAGAAAGCAGCTCAGTCCTGCTGGATAATCTGATTTTAGCCCATTAAGACTCAAAGTCTCATAATAGATGTGTGGTCATGAGTGGTCTACAAGAACTGTAAGATAATAAATCTGAGCCGGGCATGGCAGCACACACCTGTAATTCCAGCTATTCTAGAGGCGAAGGCAGGAGGATAGCAAGTTTGAGACCAGCCTAAACAACTTAGCAAGACCCTGCTCAAAATAAAAGAATAAAAAGAACTGAATGTAGCTCAGTGATAGAGTTTGTGGAGCAAGCTTGGGGACCCAGAGTTCAACCCCCAGTTCTTTGAAAAACATATATAATTAATAACAATAAAAAATTTATACGGTTGTAAGTCACTACATTTGTAGCAATGTTAGAATGGCAATATAAAACTAACAGAGGAAATTCTGAAGAGAGTATGTCAGTAAATGCAGACTTTAAATTTTTACAGAAAAAATGTACTTCTCTATCATTTAAGTAAAAACTGAATTTTGTACCTCAAACTTAATATAAACACAAGAGTTTATTAGTTACAAAGCCCTTGATTTAATTATTAGTATATGCTTGTGGACACAAGTCATTTTGTTAATAAAATTACTTACATACCTAATTGTTCAATTATACTTGAAACCATCCCAAGAGGTTTTAATTCAATATCTTCAGGCAGAATAATAGTGAGTTCTTCAACAGAAGGCAGCTCCTATAATAATATTTAAAGAGAGCATTAATCTTATTCCAACTTCAACAACTTAAACATTTTCCATTTGAAATGTTATACACATTTCTGAAGATGTAACATTAAGCACTTAAAACATCTCTATTGTGTTATCCTTTTTACTGGCTGCATGGACTTCTGATAGCATTTCTCCCATTTAAGTGACAAAAGTATCTCCACAGGTCTACAATATACTCTCTACATCCAATCCAGTTAGAGTATAGAAATAAATATTCCAGACTTTCTCCAATCACATTTCAACAAGAGACACACAATCAAAGCCATTATCATTAAGGACCCCCGAGACATTCCATTAGAAGAGAAATAACTCTACTAGCAACTATAATTGCTCCAAAAAGAGTTCTCTCTGAGTTATCTTATCAACTTGATTAATTAACCTAGTGGTGACTAAACAGCAGACTATACAGCAGTCTTTTGGGGGCTGTATGGAGAAGAGGTGAACATCTGGCCTCTTCAGGAAAAAAGCAATGAAAACTGTCAGGCAAACACAGAATTCCTGGAAACAGAATGTAGCCTGAGAAAGCTGTGAAAGTGTTACCTGGTATTTTCTCTAAATTACAAAATAAATTTCTTATTTTTAAAAAATAAAATAAATTTTAAAAATTTCTCTTCTTTGATAAGCTAAAACCTACAAAAATTCAGTTGCTAATCAAATAGAGATGAAGTTGAAGAGAAATCTACGAATAAAACTGACATTAGCCATTAAATTTAAAAAACAGAGCTTTTTGGTCTTGACCCTTGTCAAATTATATTAACTCTTGGAAGGAAGTTGTTCCTAAAGAAGTCTTGTTTGTTTGTTTTTTTTGGGTATCAGGGATTGAACTCAGAGACACTCAACCACTGAGCCACATCCCCAGCCCTGTTTGATATTTTGAGATAAGGGTACAAAAACACTTCAGAGACAAGTAAATAAAACCAGCTTTGTACAATTTCAAGTAGCGAGTTTGCCTTTGAAAGTCCTAGTAAGTCAAGTAGTATGTATCTGCTTTGAAAACTTGAAAACGGCAGATATTTTGGGAACTGAATTAAAGGAAAACAGATCTATTTGTTTACTATAAATGAGCATGCTAGGAGAGGAGAAGTAGAGAAAAATATTCCAAGTTCCATCAATAGGAATTCAATCAAGAGAGATACTTTCATGGAGATTTTTGGCAGATCCAAACATATAAAGCTTTAGAAGATGCAGAGGGTTCAAATCTCTCTGCAAGATTCGCTTGGATTACCACATCAGATAATGTGTCAATGCCTGGATGCTAAATGTCACCGTCTCTTTCCTAACTATTAAATTTAAAATAACCGGACTACCTCCAAGCCTAGTTACTATTTACCAAATTATCCTGCTGCTTTTCTTCTATCAAAATATCTTATTGTTTAACATTTCATTTGTTTACATACTTATTGTCCATTTCCCTAACTAGACAATAAATTCAACAATAACTAGGACCCAGTCAGTCATACTTGTTGCAATAGCACCAGAAAGATAATTGGCACATAGTAGTAGGTGTTCCTTATACATCTATTAAATGAACTGACTGACTTCATCAGACTAAGCTAATAAATTTCAGCAGTCAGTCTTTTTTAGACAGAGAAACCAGAAAATAGAAATATAATTCAATGCAGACTTTTCAAGGAATGAAAAAAAGACCTAAACCCTACCTTTTCAAAAATAAAATTAAAAAGGCAGATCTTCCAAAGAACATTAACTACCTAGGATGTATGCATAGATACCTCTGGTTTGCAGAAGCAAATATTACTATAATTATTAGATTAACACGTGGCTCCCTGATAACACAGCAGCTTCCCCTGGTACAATGTCAAGTAAATCTCTCAGCCATATAATCTCCTTTAATGAAAATAAAACTCAATCACTTTGCTTTTCCATGTGTCAGAAAAGAAGGTGTATATGTGACAGAGAAGAGAACCACAGATACAATAATAAGAAAAATTGGCCAGAACACATACRGAGGGGCACTATGACTTTGACATTGCAGAGATGATGAGGGAACCCTGTGATAGAAAGACCTTCATTATTTAATAAGCAAAAAACCAAGTATGCTCAAAATGAGAGATAAGAAAGCTATCTCCCTAATGAAGGTCAGGGAGATTAAAGTATTTACCTAGATTACCCTACTAGCCTTGTGAAAAGAAGGATAAATGGGTGGAAAAGTCCCCTTTTATTTTACATATACACTTAACTACATTTGTAAATTTAATTAATTAAAATTCAGTCTCCAGTCACACTTGCCACATTTAAAGTGCTCAATAGCGCTAGTATTAATATAATAGAACATGGACATAAAACATTTCCATCTCTGCAGAAAGATCTATTAGCACTGCTACACACTCTCACACAACAAGAATCCTTCATTACAAAACATGTAGCAAAGTATCAACAGCATCAATATATTTCCTGCCATTAATACAGGTATAATTTCAAGATAACACTATAACAGCATGTATCCTAAGTCTTAATGTTAATCTAAATACTCCATTTGGGAAATAAAGATTTGTGATAAATCTGCATTATTATCTTGTTTTTGAAAATTAAAATACAACTAAACACTTGTCTTACATGTTCATTATCTGCAATTAGAATAAATGTTAATACTACCACTTAAAATTAGTACTGTAAGTTGTTTACTGGCTCAATGTCAAAGAACAGTAAAAAATTATTTCTGGACATAATCATCCACTACTTTTACATGTAATAACAAAAAGTAGTCATGGAAAGGAAGAAAAATATTCCATTGACATTGTCAACAAAAAGAAAAGACACATGGAAATAAAAATTGCCAGACATACCACATCACTTGGTAACTGAAATACCAAAATTATACATACTAAAGAAATTCATTTATTTCCTACACAGTCCAAATCAAAAGGTATTTTAAGAGGCAATCTAATCCACACAAATAAAATTTAAGAAAGCTGACATTAGATGATAAATGCATCCTTCATCTTGACAAAATATGCTACATTATTGTTATTCAAAAACTAAATAATCAGAAAGTTCAAGCGAACAGAATCCAATGTTGGTATAAACATTGCTACTAAAACCATGGAAATCTTTAGTATTATTCCCTATGAATCTGCTCCTCCCAACTGCTGTGTCCTCAGGCAAGTGACTTAATTTCTGATACCAGTTTTCTTATCCAAAAATAATGAAGAAATTCAGTAAAAGTTCTACTTAATACAAACGCTGATACAATTTTTAAAATGTTGAAGTGCAGGAATAGAAAAGACAGTACAATTAATAAAGAAATTATATACCAGACTTGAACAAAATAATTACTATAATCCTGTGATAAGACACCATAACTATGGCAGCCAAAAAAAAAAAAAAAAAAAAAGCAAAATCTTAAACCACACTTTTGAAACATACATGAAAGCAATCATTGTCAGTGTCGTAAGAATATTATTAAATTCTCATTCTCTAAATATTTGTATGAGCTACAAGGTTACTCTGTGAAGTAAAATATTCAAATAAGTAGTATACAACATTAAAAATCCATCCTATTGAAAAGTAAATTATAGACATGCCAGTCAAAAATGAGTATCTAAAACTTCCAGCACAAAAATGGAAGGAGCTATTATGTACAAAAAGGCCCTCTGAGAAAATGACATTCATGCTTTATAATTTGGCCTTGACTTCCCTAGCTCTTCTGAAGGCTTACCAATTGGGCGGGGGAGTGGGGGGGGATCAGTAATTTGGGTATCTTCTAAAGCAAAATTATCTAAAGAACATGAATTTAGATTTTTACTCATGAAAGCAGAATAAGGGCAGCACAGGGTGGTGTGTAAAGGAATCAAACATTCGAAATGGAAACTAATTCTTTTTGGTATTCATTTGGGAAGAATTGAGAAAAGTGGGGAAGATAGAATAAAATTATTTGACCACTTTTTCTCCTATTACCCAAGAATAGAGGACATGCACATGGCAGCCAATTACCTGATGCTATTGGGTGAGCCTTCACATTTCAGATATGGTTGGAAAGTAGGATCCCATCCCTGGAGTATTGAGAGCCATGATTGGATTTTTTCCCTATAGCTGGTAAGACATATTGGAAAAAAGAATGGATTAGGTCTGTATAGTTTGTGCAAAGTCTGACCACATTTTATATTTAATTTCTAACTAATCAACTTCTCCAGGGAAGAGTAATTTTACAAGTTTCCATGGATTGCAGCTATTTTTGTAGCTATCACCAACAACATTAATTTTGCCCTCATTTATTACCCTATTGTTTCTGACACTAACTGTAAGCTGGTCCATTAAATATTATCACCTAAAAAATTAAAATCAACAATTCTTTGAAACGTCTTTATATTTTTCATTTAATGAATATGTTTCTACCCTGTTCTCCAAAATTACAGTCATAGAAACAAAGTTTATAAAAATATCTTCAAAAAGCTGAAATAAAATTATAGTCCATTTCAATAAGAAAAAAAAATTCAACTGTAAATGTAACTCAAAGTCTATCTTTTATGTTAAGTGAGGAGTCTATATTTCATGAACTGCAAAATTCCATAGTCCAAATTTCTTAAAAAGGTGAAAGGTGAAAAAAGTGCTTGTTTAGAACTAAAAATATTAATTGTATGGATGATAAATGAATGAACAATAAACATTTCCTGGCTCCTACAATGTTAAATGACATTGAGAATAAAACCGTCATGTAACACACTTGTTCTTTTCCTTTTAAGTCCACATGCTCTTCATTGTCACTTTCCCAACCAGAGCCATCTTTCAATCTCGCTCATGCCTTCCTTAATCACTGCAGTGCAAATCATCTCCCCTTCCACTTGATCCTATGGCTTCTTCCACCCTTCTGACATTCTGCATTAACTCTGGTGTTACTTTTCTCTCAGCCTAATTATGGAGGCTCACCCTCCAGCTACATTCTCTTTTAATTTACATTTGTCTTTATCCAGTACAGTAATCAGGAGAACTCACTTATTAAAATCTACTG